CTTATTGATTTGCTGTCCTATTTTTTTCCTGTTCAGGCGTCGTTTCGGACTTGCAGTTTGACCGAGCAGAGTTTCGGTCTGTTTCGACAAAAGCCACGTTTTGGGCCTTTGTCGTTCTCAGTCAGGCCCATTTGGGCCAGGTTCGTGTTCATCCAGTAGCGGACACTCCCTGATGCATCAGCAGGGAGGGCCTGGACGTCCGGTAGGGACCCAGGCAGGCCGTTTCAGACCAAGGACCAGAGGCACACCAGCGAGGCCCAGCGCTACTTATAGCTAGGTCAGCCCAGGGCAGCCACACAGTTCGAGTAGCTCACTTCTTGGGCAACACGCTGCTGGAGCAGCGCGACACAGCGCTGCGCTAGGGAGTACAGGTGTAGGTAGGGCGAGGGACGGAGGCCATCCTGCAGTGGCGCACGTACCTGGGCATCATAACCGAGCTCAACATTTTTGTGGCAGACATTGATTGGATATTCGGCGGGGAGACTATTTTTGGACTTCGCTATCGCGATCTTGGTTTTCTCCTTCCTCTCCATCTTTGTCTCGGCGCTCTGCATTGTCCATTTGCGTCCTTCTCATCACTTTGCAGAATCGTGGCTCCATATACATCGCACGAACGAGCATGTATCACAGAGAGAGAGAGAGAGAGAGAGAGAGAGAGAGAGAGAGAGAGAGAGAGAGAGAGAGAGAGAGAGAGAGAGAGAGAGAGCAACAAGAGATCACTACCGAATTGGTAAGCAAACAGATAAATGAAAATAAAAAACTGATACGAAAGACAAAGGAGACTCATCAGTTGATTGGCAATCAGCCCACCACACGAAGTATGGCAAGGATAAGAAACACCTCAAACCAGAATACAGCATGCAGGAGATCAGTTGCTCACAGGTTCGCATGCAGTAATTGAGCATTCTGTTGTTGCCCTCTTTCCTTTCACTGGTGAGGCTGCAAAAGGTCATCTAGTGTCTTATTATTTATGTTTTTGTCCCATGTCTGGGACGGCACACATTTGTCTTAGTGCCTGCTCAGGAAAACGCTGTTGGAGGCCACAGATACTTTGTCCGCATTGGGGCTGGAGTTACTTTGGTCCTGTTTGCCATTTGAGGTGACTTTTTACACACAGGAGATTTTGTCTACATCTGAAGGCTCCAGAATGGTCCATCCTGCTGATGCAGCATTGGGTCATGACCACTGGTCCAGACCCTGACAGTAAGGTGTGGAATGGGCAGTTTGGGGAAAGCAGGACCGCGGCCTCCATTTTGGACCACAGATCGACCACAGATCGTAGTTAGATCTATGCAGCCCAAAACGGAACCCGCATTGAGGAGAGGCTGGGCGCGGCACTATACACTGAGAGCTGGGTCGGGACTTAGACACCCAGTCTTTTGACTCGTAGGCCGCCAGGCTGCTGGAGAGCTGCACCGGACTTGGAGTAGTGGCAGACAGAGTAGAGAGGGCTGGCAGTCATAGCTGCCCGAGTGCTTACCTGTCTGTCGCGCCGGGTTCCTGGACTTCAGCTCAGTGCAAGGCATCACATTTAGACAGTAAAGTCGTTCCACTTAGATAGAGATGGAGAGAGAGAGAAAGAGAGAGAGAGAGAGAGAGAGAGGGACATTTCGGCTGAGCTTCCTCTTCTTCGGTCTTTCTGCTTCTTTCTGACAGAGCTAGGGAGACTTGATTACGGTACGATTTTGTCAGATAGAGGCAGCTATCCAAACTTGTGCTGACAAATACTTGTATATAGACGTTGTGGGTAGCAACTGATGTTGGAGTTCGTGAGACTTTGCTTTGGGGGAACTGAGGGAAATTAGTTTTGGCCACATTGTCATTTCTCCACTTCTTCTTCTTCTTCTTCTTCTTCTTCTTCAGTGATTAGTTAAAGATGTGTGTGTCGATGTCCTCTACCCATTCTTCAGTGATTAGTTAAAGATGTGTGTGTCGATGTCCTCTACCCACATTGCCCCCAGACTAATTGGTGACTGTTTCTGCTCGGTCAGGGCCTGACCTTGAGTAACCCACTATGCATTGTTCTACTCTACCCTCATAGGATTCAACCATCGTTTTTTCTGCATGCCCAATCTCTGGTCGACATTCATCCACGTGCCTGAGTGGAGTATACCTCTCTAGAATATTATCCTATCTATATATATCGTCAAATATATATCTCGCTCTCTACCATCCTGCACTGCACACGCTATTTTTGGTGCACCTATGTCCTGTGCGAAGAACATCCGATGATTGATATTGCACCAATCGCAGGGTCAGTGACTACCTTGTCCAACATCCGATGATTGATTTTGCACCAATCGCAGGGTCAGTGACTACCCTGTCCGTTCTCCGGCATGAGTTGATATCCCAGAGCAGAGAAACATCAATTATGCACAGATTGACTGCTCGACTTGGGGGTCCTAGGAGATTTACTCTCCCTTCAACTTTCAATCAGCTTTTCATTTTTTTTGGCCAGATTAGCTCGGACAGGTCGGACGTGAAGGTGTGACGTCAAAACCCATGAACGCACTGCAAAATGCAAAAGCCAGACATTGCGAGAGATGCGTTCTCGCACATGGCACATTGTGGTTTCTCCTCCAAGAGAAGACGGGGCTGAAAGGAAGCACAGAGGAGCAGGGGGAGAGGAATGAACGACATGGGAAGAGGAAAGGGTTCATACAATAGCCAACCGTCCAGTGAGGATGACAGTTGGGACATTGCGAGAGATACATTCTCGCGCATGGTACATTGTGGCTTCTCCTCCAAGAGAAGACAGAGCTGAGAGGAGCAGGGGGAAAACACTCAACATGCACTTGGGACGCTTTCTGGAACAGGTGCATTTGAACGAGTCCAACATTTTGAAGAAAGCGTCCACATGCATGTAGAGTGCTCGCTCCACTACACCACTCAACATGCATTTGGACGCTTTCTGGAACAGTGCATTTGGACGAGTCCATTTTTGGATGTACCTGGTCCAGAAAGCGTCCAAATGCATGTATAGTGTTGTGTATAGTGGAGCGAGGCCCAATGACACAAAAAGCAGCGCTGCCAGATTCTGAAATACAAGGCGAGGGGGAAAAGGGAAAAGACGTATAAAGCACAAGCAATCGCCAATCCGCAATATATTGTTACAAGATATCAGAGCGCAAAACCGAAGAAAACCAAGAAAAAATGAATTCATTTTTTTATCTTCTTCTTTACAACTCCCCCTGTTCAGAATCCGCAATATATATGCATCTGGACAGAAGGAAACCCGTTCGCTGAATGCTCACGGAATCAATACGATGAGCACAAGATAATAGGCGGTGCATCGGTGTGGGTAAGGGATCGCGGAAGGCGGAAGGCGGAAGCCTCGCGAAGCGAAGGGGAGGCGACAAGGATAGAAAAAAAAAAGAAGAAAAGCAGAGGCGGCCAAAAACAATGCCGACGTCCATGGAACCCATTATTCATGATGCGTAGACGGTAATTTACGTACAACGTTTCACGACCTCGGTTCTCAGCGGCAAAGACCGCGACATATATTTGGCGAGTCAGTGGAATACTCGAGGTCAGAAGGAGATTGAACGATCACAGATGGTATCCATGTAGCACATCAACCGCTTTTCTTTGGGCTTTTGAAGAACGGAAAACATGTCAGATAGATGCTCTCTCTCTCTCTCTCTCTCTCTCTCTCTCTCTCTCTCTCTCTCTCTCTGTGTGTGTGTGTGTGTGTGTGTGTGTGTGTGTGTGTGTGTGTGTGAACAGGCGCAGTGCATAGTCGACTCCTCTCTCGTAAGAGGAAAATCCGAAGCCGCCAAATAGAGACCTGAACAGAAGCTGTCTGCTGAGGGGAGCTCCGGGCCGCGGCTCTCTCTCTCTCTCTCTCTCTCTCTCTCTCTCTCTCTCTCTCTCTCTCTCTCTCTCTCTCTCTCTC